GTTCTCTCTCGCTCGCACAGAGCATAGCGCTCTCTTTCGTCATGCTACGTGCGAGCGAGAGAGAACGCAAGGGGCACGAAACAGAGTATGTCCTTTTCTACGTGGGCATCGGCCCCCCACTCCTCAACACTCGGTCTAGATATACTATGTCTATGGATAAAACTCTATCTATATTTAATATATCTATGATACATACATAATTTCTAATTTTATCTTTCAATGGTTCTTTCCGTCTAAAGATCAGCTGACTTTGACATTTATGACAGTATAAATATAAACAAATCAGTATGAAAATATATATCACATCTCTTGTTATTCTACATCGACAAAACAAAAATGACAGAGAAGATTGAGAGTGTTTCTTTACATGTTAATAAAGTATCTGAATAAATATAAAACAAAATGGATATAATAAAAGAATATCTACTGGTACCAGCAAAGTATATGATATTGACAGATGAAAGAATTTGCCTGACAGTTCACCGAAATTGGCTTTCCCAATTACTAACAGTCGGCCCATTTACGTTTATCAATCACGATCGACTATCCAGCGATGAGATTGCCGCGCAACCCTTTCTCGACAAATTGGGTTGCGACTGGCTGAGAATATATGCAAAAGTATCTTTATAATTTTTTAGATATTTTATATAAAGTATATGATGTGATATGTGTGAAATATAAAGTTATATTATTACTCTTATAGGTGTATGTAAAGCAGTACAAGAATGCGATTCCTTTGCCAAGAGGAAGGCCTACTAGTACAAAAAATCAAACGGAATTAATGTTTTCACAATTATTGCATTATGTAGCTGAAACAAATTATAGAAACCTATGGAAAGAAACGTACAAAAAATATTACAGTATGTGTCTTAATAGACAATATTTTCTATCTCTAGTTTTTAGTTTTTTTGCCCGACACAGATATTTATTTTTATTTTACTTATAATCTTGTAAAATATGTGTAGATCCTTGGAATTTTGTTGAGCAAAAGGAGCAGTCTAATATCACAGCTAATGCAAACGATGTTGCTATTATGTATGAAGTACTAAACAGGATGTATGGCTGTCCTTTGGTACAAGTACAACGTGGTGTAGTTCTATCGGTATCAAATGGTGCATCATCTGAAACACATTGTAATCTCGTACCAATCCATTTTGTCGTAGAAACAACGTCCGCTTTTATAATTTTTTATGAGCAGATCGCGAATTTCTCTCTTCGCGAGTGAGTAATAACTGTTTTATGTTCATATTTGGATGTATAAAGACACTTCTTCAAAATATTCTTATATTTTATCCAAAATATTTTTACATTTTATCATATTCATGAATATCAATTTCAGATGCGTAATGTATAGTCCTGCTGCTCTTAATACAAGTCATGGGAAATCATTGTTTGTAGTTTATCAATTATTAAGATTATCCAGAGACTTGCACGATCGTGGTCTTGCATTGGGTGAAATTACACTCAGTGATATATTAATCACAGATAATTTTACTGTTAAGGTATATTTTGTGTAACTTGTATCTACTTATATATGACAAGAATTTTAATATTTAAATGTGAGATGAGACCATAGAAAAAAAATGTTCCAATATTGTAAACTGATTTTGTTCTTTCTAGGTACTGCCAAAATTAAGCGATAATATTTATTTAAAACCTGAAAACGAATGTCCTCCTATCTCTCAAGACAGTAAAGAAAAAAATCCCAGTTACAATGTTTACAGTAAAAAAGATAGCATATCTCATTCAAATAACAGCGATTTTGGTTTAAATGAAAGTATTGAAAAATTATGCGAGATGTGGGTGTATAATTGTATTAGCAATTTTGATTATTTGACTGCGCTCAATAATTTGGCTGGTAGAAGGTACGGTGATCCTATCTGTCATCATGTTATGCCTTGGGTAACGGATTTTACATCGAGAAACGGCGGCAACTGGAGAGATCTAACAAAGTCAAAATTTCGATTAAATAAAGGTGACAGACAATTAGATCTCACGTTTGACTCACAATCAACTGAGGTATGTAAATTAACACATATGGGAATTTTGTTTCATGTATTCATGCATTTTATTGAATAATTAATTAATTCATACATGCAGGTTGGACATCATGTTTCGGATGTTTTATCAGAGATCACATATTATGTATATCTTTCACGTCGATATAATAAGTCTGTGCTTTGTAAGCATGTACGACCCTTATGGGTACCTGGAGAATATCCAGCTTCAATTCAGAGATTACACGATTGGAGTCCTGATGAATGTATACCACAGTTCTTTACTGATCCTAGTGTTTTTAAGGTAAAATATTATTATTAAGCAATGATAAAATATCTCTCTCAAGTTCGATAAATCTTTTAAAA